CCCCCCGGCGCCGGCCTGCCCGGGGCAGAAGGGCAGAGCTCAGCCCTGCCCGCGCCGAGGGGCCCCGGCACCAAGCGGTCTCTAAAAGGCGGGCGACACACCAGCACCACGAGCAGCTGCAGCGGTTGGCGTTTCGATTACGGTTTCTCCTCAGCCCTTCATTGCCAGTTAATGGAAAACAAGGCCCAAAGAGCTGAAAACGGCCAATCTACTCTGCGCCATGAGCAGCGGGCTAAATCCAAGCCGGGAGTTAATGCAGCGTCTCCCGGGGCACAACGTCCCTTTTGATACTGCTTGTTCTGCGGGCCCCGCTCCTCTCCAGCTGCAGCACTGCCAAACCGCCAAAGCCCAGCGTTAGGGCATCATCTTTCCAGTGCTGGCCTGCAGATGAAATGATCTAGTGACATGGTAAATCTAAATCACACATTTAAAGTCCAGATTTAAAATCCTTAGTTTTTGTTAGAAGTACTTTAAATTGTTTCCCAGGAGGAACTGTTCAAGTGTAGGAGTTGCCCGCTGCCCCCCCGTCACTTCTTCTTGCTCTCTTGGCCACGCCAAGTGCAGCCTAAAGACCCTCCCCAGCACTCCTCCCAGGGACCCTACCCAGAAACTGCTCCCCCCAGAGCCCTGTGCCTGGCGGAAACGCGCATCACCCACAGACAAAGCTTGTTTGAACCGCATTTCAGCGCAACGCTCTTCAGCAGTTTGCACCGGACAGACAGGATTACCAGCCATGCAGCTGCACATCAGTGCCTTCGAGGCACATCATTTCAAAGGGCTGCTGTCAAAAGAATCTTCTTACACATACCAGTCAAATTAAGTCTTTCACATCAAGAATGAAAAATAATTTTCAAATACAATCACTGCCCTAGATAGCATGGAAAAATCCTTCAATTATAACAGCTCTTTCCTGGAAAGACACAAATATTCACGCTTCCAAAACCTGCAATCCTATTATGTTACTCTACTCTCTCTGCATCAGTTCCTCAGGCTGTATTTTCAGAAGACGGGGGCTTCAGCAAGACCATCACCTTAGGAAGTTCCCATGTACAGAGACTCCTTCCAATTGTTCTCCCCTCTGTGCTACATCAGAGCCACTCTTTGTGGAGCCTGTGAACCAGGCAGATGATTAATCCATGTTATTTTTTTATTGCTTTTGAGAAAGAAAAACGGACGCGGGAAGGAGGCTTATGGCATGGCTCCACAGACAGGAGTACCTACACAGCCAAAGAGCGCAGCACGACAAACTCAGGGACAGAGATTCCAAAATGTAGATTGCTGGCAAAGTCCCCAAACCATGAAATGATGCCCTTGATCACCTACCCACCTTCATCTTCTTCCAGCTCTTGGGTTACGGTGTTCCTTCTTAAAGACGACTTCTGGTAAGAACTCAGAGCCATGTACTATCATCCAGTATGTGTCTGCTGAAAACCTTTCAAATGAAGAGTGGGATAAGACATGCGTCGCACCCATGTTTTTGAAGGGTAGACAAAATCCCTTTAGTCCTTTCTGGGCAATTCCTACACACAACGTTTGAAGAGTGCACCTTTTTCCCACATGGCAGGTAACCAGCTTAGTGTTAATTGACAACAGATAGGCCTTCAGTATTTTAGATTAAAAAAATAACTGATCACAAAAAAACATGATTGCAAAAATCTCTGGATAGTCAGTTACCATGCAAGCCCTCCCCTCAAAGAGGAGCAACTCACTTGATGATCCTTTCCAAAGAACCCAGACTAGCAGGCAAGAAAAATGATCAGACCACATGGAAAACTGGATTAGAACTTTCTTTCAGTTGTGAAAGTCTGAGGAGTTGAAAGGAGGGTAAGACAGAGCCCAGACTTCTCTAGACTAACCCAGAGATACTGCTCTGTAATTCAAATGAAATTTTGAATTGAATTTGTAATTCAAAGAAAAGTAGTAGCTTCAACAAAAAAAAAACCCCACAAAAACCACAAAACACAAATCCACATGGAAAACCATTTATTTCATCTCTATTGTCTCCAAGCAGAGCAGACCAATACAGATGAAGGGGGAAAATGCGTAAGAGCAGCTGAAAAAATAAGAGCTAGAAAATACGATTCTCTCTGCATTTCCAAAAGTGACAAATGTGGTGGAGTGATGCTCCATTTCCTCCCACGGCTCTGCATCCTCAGCCCCAGGGCTGATGTAGTGGAAAACTAAGGAGTTCCTCCCTCCCTCCCTCCCACCAGCCCTACGCTACCTCCTACCAGGGTATCTTCCCAAGAACCGCAGACTGTCCAGGCCTGTGGCAGCCGCCAAGAAAAACAGCTCAGAAATTCCTTCTTCAGTGTCATCCACTTTGCATTCCTGAACGCTGAGCACAAAATCCTGACTGTGGTTTCCAGCCTCAGCAAGGCTCAGTGCTGATGCAACAACACCAACGCACTGGCACTCACCTGGCAATGCCCCAACTTACACACCAGCCTTGTTTTCAGAGACATTTTGGGAAACAGTAGGCACATCTTTCTGTGCAAACCTGCCTCTTCCAGAATCCCGCTACTGGGTCTGCTCAGCTGCCGTCCCTGGGCGGGCAACCTCCAAAGCTAGAACCAGAGGGTGAGCATATTGCCCCAGTCCCTGCAGGCTAGTCAGACTAATCCTCCTTCCAGGAAAGCAGGAAGCAGATGCAACCTTCAGACTCCGTGACAACTGAGTGATAGAGGGAGCAGTTGGCAAAGGAAGGCAACTTCGTAAAGAGGAATTAAAAAATTGCACTAAGCCTCCTTGATTGTTGCAGTGAAACTAGTTACTGATGTAAGCCTGGGGTAAGGAAAGCCGAAAAAATTTTAGACAGCAGTTCCTGCGCAGAGCGAACTGCAGGCATGAGCTCTCCAGTGCTCTCTGAAAAGTAGGGCAGGAGCTGTCATAAAAAAGAACTGTGTCAACAGTTCAGGAATCTCTTAGGGAAGTAAATGCCTGTGCTGTGGGCAGCATACCTGCCTTGTTGCTCTGACCCGAATCGCCCTCTCAAGGGACGAGCCCTCTCGATAAGGCCCTGTGCAGGCTGCAGAGCTGTACTGATTTACAAAAGCTGTTTAAAGACAGAGCTGAGTTGGTGCAATTCACATTGTGGCACCTTCTGTGTCCAATGACTCCACTAGTTCCATTAGACCTGTTTTGAAACAGATTTCAGCAAAGCAAGGATAAGCTCTGCAGAAGGGATGATCTCGTAATTGTGCACATCTCTGTGGCAACAACACATCCCTGTGGAACGATGGCCTGGCCAGCCTCGTGAGCTGGGATGCAGGAAAGCACTAGAAACGTCATTTATTTTTACTGGTCTCAAACTGCCAAAAGTTTTATCCCAAGCGTCACACAACAGAAAACTCCTCTTAAAGCTACTTATTGTCACCCTTTCTCTCCTTACTTAGCACACAGCTTTTCTAGACCCGTTTTTTAAAACCTTTTCACCAGACGTTTCACCCTTCCCATTTCACCCTCCCTCCAGTATTCTTTGCTGCTGTGCCCGCTCCTTTAAGGGCTGCCAGTATTACTTCTTATTCATCCATCCCCAACATGCTAACTCCACTGTGAGGCAAGTAGCCCAGAAATAGGGTACCATCTACATTTTTGGTTATAGCATGCTTTTAAATAGTCTACAGTGAACAGAGGAAAAGCTAACCAGGGGTTATCGGCTGCTGATCAGGCTGTAGTGTTCAACTATTGCCCAAACTGCCCAGACCTCTACCATGACAGTCTAGGGCTGCTGTAGCATGCCAGGGAGGGCTGACACGCTACACCTCAAGCGAGCTCTGAAACGTGGTGTGGAAGATGGTGGGTGAGTCGGGTCTTGAGAGCAGGCTCAGAGCTGTGTCCAGCTAATGGTTATGAGGAGAGGGAGCTCAGTCGCAACAGCTACATGGCTTTCCTTCCAGATGTAGGTGAGCTGGTAGTATGGCAACAGAAGAAACATTTACTGACCATTTTTCAGATAAACAGGCTGTCATGGTTACTGGAGCGGTTAGGGCTGAGACAAGTAATCTCCAAGCTGAGCCATTTAATTGTAGTGACCTATCCTAAAGTGCCTCAAGCTTTTGGCTCCATTTCAACATAAACAAATACAAAACAGATCAAAGAGGTGGACTGCTGAGGCTAATACTACCTTTAGGAACAAGTGATGTCAATGAAAAGCTTGAGATCAAGTTGGAAAGCCTCCTTTCCCCTCTATCTCATAGCACCGTTAACTTCTCATGGGCAGGGAGTTCTGGCTAAAGCTGTTAGTTTATTGTTGCTTTGCCACCCCTGTTCTGCCTCCAGCCCTTAGAGTGGTAGAAGCCCTTCCTCTTCATCAGCTATAGGAATCGCCTCTGTTTTCACACAAGAGCTTGGGAGGTGCCGTTCCATCAGAAGGAACCGAGGGAAGCACTGTCCATTCGCTGTGGAGCAGATATTCAGTTCATTTCTGCTCAGTGTATCTTTTGCTCCATAAAAAAACCACAAAAGAAACAAAAAAAACCTGGAAGCCCTGATGTGTGGATTTTAGCAGAACAGGGATAGGAGAGCCAGGGAATGAAGTCCTGCACACCCAGACCTCTTTCTCACCTGCTTCTCATACTAGCAGCCAGATCTGCACGCACACACATAGGAAGTAACATTAGTGTTCCTTATTGCTTTGTAACAGCTCAGAGTCACTGTGGTGGCTCTGGGAGGCATCATGAGGTCTGCGCAGAGGTCACTCAGTTGTGAGCGAGAGTAGCACCATGACTGTAATGCCTGTACACAGGAGCAGAATTTGCTGCAGGGAGTTCCTGGGAAAGAAACACAGAATTAGGAAGAGCCATAGACCAATCCCAATAGGCAGCAGTATAGAGGCTCACGAGTGGTTTGTTCTTTGCCCTTCCAAGTCTACCACAAGGAGAACACAACAGCTGTATGAAGTCACTAACACAGCCGAGAAGACTGTTTCCCAGCACCCCAAGCAAAGAACTTGTCTATAAACAGACAGGTATTTGTTCCACTGAGCTGCAGGGCCCAACTTCAGGTTTCAGAATCAATTTAAGCCAATTCAGTCATGCAGCTACCTAGGTATATATTCTTGTCCTTTCTGTTATGAGAGAGCCAGCACTTCTGCAGCATGTTCACAGATAATTTAGGGACCTCATCCAGCTAACAACTACAGTTACAAAAATAAAAAAAAAGCCAATGAATTTTGCCATTCTTTGAGCAACATCTCAAGTTTATGCTGGATTGAAGTGACTACATACCTACCACCTCTGCATACTCTGCCAACAGCTCTGCCAGCACAAGAGGTTACCAATGCAAAAGCAAGCTCCCCACTGGTCATTAACATTTCTCCACCAGAAGTTCCTGCCTCCTCAGATACAACTGTGGAGCTGTTTTTTGAGGACCTCCTTAACCGTTTCAGTCAAAATTAACTAGGTGAGCCAAAGCCTTTTATTTAAACTACCAAAGTTACCTGTGTCATTGCAACTGAAATAGGAGGGAACAGTCAGAGGCAGCTCTGCCAGCAGATCTGAGAGGGACTTTACTGTGATACAGCTGGATTTGGACCTGCTACAGCCTTAATCAGACTGCAAGAAACTACAATAATACAGATGCGGGGAGGCCAAATAAACCAGAATATATATGCCAGTGTAGAAGAGAGATGATTGAGGTGGGATACAGTAAAAGACTGTGAAATGCTGAATGATAGAGAAGAAAACTATTATTTTCTACTCACACAGCAACACAGCACCACCTAATCAAAATTAATAAGGAAGAGGTTAAAAACAAATAATAAGAAGCACTGTTCAACACAGTGCAGCCGAACTATACAAACTTGCTGCCAAAGGGAGATCGCAGAAGCCCAAAGTAATGGATAAGGTCAAAAAAGGGATGAGAGAAGCATGTGAAGGATAGGTTCACGTATGGTCAGCAGACACACATACCTCTATGGGGCCCTGGTTCAGACAGTCCCTAAACCAGTAAATGCCAGAAGCTGACAAGACAGACTGGGTCCCCTCACTGGACATGCCTCTGAGCAACCTGCTCTAGCTTGTCATGCTGCATACCGCACTAGCACAATCTTTGGGACTGACACAGCTGAAGGCTCTCATATTTTATAGGGTCTTTCTAGTCCCATAAACACATTAGCTAGAACAGCAGTTTATCTAGATTCCAGCCTTGCCCATGGGATTTGGAAAGCTGGCATTCATGTGCTCCCAGAACAGGCACGGGGAAGAGTTATATCCCTGCTCTCTGCCAGCAAGAATTTCTGCAGCAGAACAGGAGGGAGCACTTACCAAGGATTCTTTTCCTCCAGGAGATCAGGCACAACATTTACCAAGGCAATATACAGAAATCCTCCAGAAGTGAAAGGGAGGATCCAGGCGATCGTTTCCCCTGCACAAACACAGAAAGTTTTTGTTATTACTGAGACAAAGCCACAGGACAGACAGAGAAGGGAAAGAAGATATACACATGGGGACAAAAGGTCCCCCCTCCTATTCCCACAGAGGTCCCAGGAAGCCTTACCTGCTCCTTTTGGTGACTGAGAACATATTGCAAAGCAGGCTCCTAGAATCCCCCCCAGAGCTGTGGAAAGCTGCAACTTGGCTGCACTCCAGCGGTCAAAGCCAGCCCGAAGTAGGATGGCAAAGTCTCCAACCTAAGAAAATCAAGAGCTGACAGTTAACGAATATGAACATTCTCCATCACAAAGGCCATCGTAACAAGACCAGTGCTTCAGATTGTTTCTAGTTTTCCATGCTGCCCATCACCCAGAGGGAGCAGCTTTCAAAGAGACAAGAAAATGCTAACCAGATCCAGCCCCCCTCTTAGTAGGTGAAGCACCCTTGTAATCCCCCATGATGGCAGGATACAAAGCCCTCTCACCTCATGTGGGATTTCATGCAGGAGAATGGCCATTGTGGTTAGGAACCCAACCTGTAGCAGAGGAGAGAAAGCCATTAGAAAACAGTCCCCCAGCTCGGAGAGACGAGACTTTCATTGGCATGTCAAGGCCCCTTTCTCCAAGTTAAGACTTGTTACTTTGAGTTTAGAACTATTCAACAAAAGGGTAGATGAGCTAACCCTTCCCCTAATGCCAGTACGAATGACTAACGTCCCAGGTTTGAAGAAGCTCTGCATCAGAAGGTCAGGGAAGGGTTGCTTTTTACTGTAGTCTCCATTTTCCCAGAAACTTCCAGAAAACAGGAGGTAACTCCTCACATCTTTGGGTTTTTTGCATGCTGCTTCACATGTGAGAATCGCCCTCTCCAGTTCAGTACATAGCCGGTGGCAGAAACCTTACCTTTCTGCTAACCAGGAAGCTGGCTGCTACTGCCAGGCCGTGTGTAAAGTTATCAATGGTGTTGGCCAGCAGATTGAGGTATCCACTTATCTGCAAAGAGAAGGAAAAGCCCCTGATAAAGGAAGAGATGTAACAAGATAAAAAAGACAGCACATGGCTTAGACACAGGTTATAGAGTCACGATCCGATGGAAAGGTCAGGACACGGCACTTCCGGTGAAGATACTAAACTATGTCAGTGCTGAAGTACAAACTAAATGTTCTGTTCAGTTTTAGAGTAAACCAAGTTCTAGGGTAGGCAAGTATTTTCTGAGATTAGGATAATAATCTTATGCAAATGACAATGAGTTCTAGAAACAGAAAGAGAGAAAGGAGAAAGAAGAAAGCCAAAATGCAAGAATACATCTGATTCTAAGTCAAACCAATTTTAGGTAACACTGACTAATTTACACAGGTGACTGGCTTCACATATGACCTGACCTTCTTTTCTAGTAATGTACTTTAATATCCAACTGTTGAACATCTCCTCTTCAAAAGCTGGCAAGAACAATGCAACAGAACAAATGCTGCTGAAATTGCTTTTTATAACTAACCAAATCTTCAAACACTGTACTAAAAAAACTTGTGCTTGTGGGTTTGCTCTCCCTTACAGAATAAAAAGAGATGGTGATGACAGTCACCAAAAAAACACCTACTAGAAGGCTGGATAGCATGTGTATGCATTTGCATACAAACACATTTCTTAATATTATCAGCATAAAGCAGCTTCCATTCTCACAAGTCCATCTCCATGTTAGACTTCCTTGTCATGCTAACTATGGTCATCTCCAGACAAATTCCGAGTGTTCAACCTAAAGTGATTTATGAGGGTACCACCCCAGCTCTTTTGCTCACAGGTTTAGGGTTTTTTTCCATCAGATTTAACAAAAACTACTCCATGTGGGTCCTGAGATATGGCAGTTCACTATACGGTGCTGTAGTTTAAATTATTATGAAACCAGATGTTAGCCAATATATCAGGCTGTCTCTGGACTGCACAAACTAAGCTGGCACATACTAACTCCAGATATAGGGCAGCATCCAGTGAGTGGAGAGACTGTCTAGAACTGTGAGGCATTAACCTCTTACTTCACCATAGCATCAGCTGCCAAAGTTGAGCTGGAAAAACACAAGCGGTGATGGTTTTCATGAGCCCTTTTTGGTCTTCTGCTGTTCTCTGTTTCTATCGAACTCTGCTTGGGGCATCTTTTCTTCCTGCCTTCTGTATGCCACAGCCCAGGTGGCGCTTTCTGTCAAGTTTCTCTCCAAAGCGCCCCTTTCTGCACAATCTCAGGACATCTTTATAGGCTCTAAGGTTTTAAAAGCACACTGACGATAAATAGGAAAATAAAGAATTAAGCAAAGCCTAACTACAGATCACGTTTAAGTAATAATCTAAGTAACATCTCTACAATGGTGCAGAAGAAGTTCCCTGCATGTTTTTGTAAGAAGGTGAACACAAAAGCATGCATGCAAGCAGCCACATGAACGCAGCAGTTTTACTTCTCATTCCTCATTTTCAGTCAGATATGACTGTAAAATTTCTCCTTTCCGTGTTGGGATTTTATGTGATTGTGTTGTCCCCACAGGCTAGTAATAATTATTCACATAAGTTTTACACAAAAATGCTTTCCCATACCACTGTATAGTGAAAAAATAGTCTTCATGATTAAAACATTATGACTTTTTCCTGTCAGTGGCTTGGGCAAAAGCTGTCACTGAAAGCAGCAAAGCCTTGGAGTGCTCAGAAATAAATTGGGTTGATTTGACAGTTATGAGCCTCTGACATTTACATTCTGCGAATTCCTAATAGGATGTTCCCGTTGCTCAGAAAGAGCACAACCAGATGAAGTGTTTATGTTCATGCTGCAGAATTAATGTCACTGTGCAATAAAACATACTTCTACAAATCAACAAGGACCCTATGTGCCACAGGGAAGAAGAAAGAATAAGCAAGGCTCTACAATGTTTTCATTTGTTGAGGGAATAAAGGCTGCAATGCAGGACAGAACCGATCTGGTTTAGGTGCAAAGGAAGCCTCCTACCTGCAGTTTTCAAGCTAGGACAAATTATTACAGCAGCAACTAAAGAGCAGAAGGGCAAATATGCATGGAAAAAGGATGAATGATTACAGCGTACTAATCATTAAGCCCTGAAGAGTGACTGACTTTGTTTAAATTATACCTTTCCCTCTTTGTTTTATAAAAAACAGGGGGTTACTGAGTGAGTAGTAGAATCAAACAAGCCTGGCTTGCTATGGCTTTCCCTCCTTTCTTTGTAGGCACCTACTTTGCTCGCTTCCAGCCACAGCCTTTCCCTGCATGTCCCTTCCCCACCCTGCACTGCCTGACAGCCCCTCCCCAGCAGGCAGGGGCAGTGAGACTTACCTGCCCATCTGCCAGCCAGGCCGACCGACCCGCTAAGCAGCATCTGAGTTCTGACAGAGTTTTTTCAACAGGGCATTAGTTTGCACTCCCCCTCTACTGCCATGCTGATTTCTACGGAACTTGCAGAAATTCGATTACCCTCAAGACTTCTATCCTCTCTTGAACTCAAGCAAAATTAATTATGGGTTCAAACATTATTGAAAATGAAGGGCAGAACAGATGGACAGACAGATGGAATGACTGCGTATGTTGTTGCCTAAGGAAACAGACTAACAATGCAGGAATATTTTGGTAGTTTTGGTAATTTCCCCCCTATCAGAAAGGCTACTAAAATATTCAGATTACATGCTCAGAAGGCAGAAAGTTAAAACTACACACATTAACTCATGAGTTTCTATTTCATGCATATGGACAAAAGTCCATTAAGACTGAACAGATGTGTCGGGATTCTATAGCTAGAAGGGCTCTCTCCATGGTTGTCTAGACCTTCTACATAGCACAACTAAAAGAATCTCATTCAATTTCTGTAGGAAGACCACTGTTTAAGCTATAGTGTACTCTGTAGAAAGCAGAGAATCTATTATGTCTCTAAGGTAAGCTGGTCCACTGGCAAGTTACCCTCAGTTACAGAGTTATCTTTGACTTCTAGCCTGCTACTGTTTGGTATAGCTTTAACTACTCAAATTTAGTCATGCATGTATAATGCATATATATTAAAGTATACAAATACATGGGTATTTGTATACTTTAAGTCACCCCTGGTCTCTCATGTCTACAGAGCTAAAGACTAAGAAAACCTGATCTCTGTGATCTCTATTATCACGTACTGCAAACCTAAAATTCTTCTTTCAGCTCTTTCCTGACCCCTTTAGAAATTATCAGTAGTATTCTAGATATTGTGAATAACACTACTGGAAAACGTCATACAGCTATTTCATTACTGCTATACAGAAAGAGGAACACTTCCCTCTTTTACATACTACTTCTTACTCATGCATCCTCCTGGCTGTAGCATCATAATGGAAGAATGGGTTCAAACAATTTCCGACTGTGATACTCATACCTTTTTCCAAGGCATTGACTTCCTAGAAACTGTCCCTATCTTCTAAATAAGATCTGCATTCTTATTTTAATATATTCCTTAATATTTGCATGTATCAAAACACATTGAAAATTCAGCGCTTTCGATGAAGTTACTCAGTTTAGCCAATATCACTGACCTCATGCAGTCACAATGTGACATTTACATGTAGTAGTACCTGCAAATATGAAGATATACTGTTTTTATAAAAAATCACTTAGAAAAATCATAAACCACCAGTGAACAGATTTGAGGGGGGCTGCATTAATCCAGTCCCTGTTGATAACATAACTGATTTTTAATACAGCTAATATTACCAAAATTGATTTCATGCAGAACTAGTTTTATTAGAATGTGGAAGAGTCATGTTTTATACACCTTTGTCAGTGTTATTACCTTTATCAAACAATCTTATGACTGAATAAGAGGCAGAGAAAAAATGTCTGGTTGACAAGAATTTATCTTCCTTAAGATCATATCAATTATCATTAATTACATTATTATTTTTTAGATCAGCCAGCAGGTCGAGGGAGGTGATTCTGCCCCTTTACTCCGCTCTCGTGAGACCCCACCTGCAGTACTGCGTCCAGCTCTGGAGCCCCCAACATGGGAAGGACATGGATGTGTTGGAGCGGGTCCAGAGGAGGGCCACGAAGATGATCAGAGGGCTGGAGCACCTCTCCTATGAGGACAGGCTGAGGAAGCTGGGGCTGTTCAGCCTGGAGAAGAGAAGGCTCCGGGGTGACCTTAGAGCAGCCTTCCAGTACCTGAAGGGGCCTACAGGAAGGACAGAGAGGGACTTTTCACAAGGGTGTGTAGTGATAGGACAAGGGGGAATGGCTCTAAACTAAAAGAGGGCAGATTTAGATTAGATATTAGGAAGAAATTCTTCACCATGAGGGTGGTGAAATGCTGGCCCAGGTTGCCCACAGAAGCTGTGGCTGCCCCCTCCCTGGCAGTGTTCAAGGCCAGGCTGGATGGAGCTCTGAGCAACCTGGTCTAGTGGAAGATGTCCCTGCCCATGGCAGGGGGGTTGGAACCAGCTGATCTTTGAAGTCCCTTCCAACACTTACCATTCTATGATTCTATGATTAGGACCAGGCCCTGAGCAACTGTGTCCCCCATCAGTGTTTCATTTCTACTTGAAATCAGTGGTAGACTAACCACCCTCTAAGTCCACAGTTCCTTACATAAAGCTTTCTGAAATAATGGCACAATGTTTCATAACCCAGTAATATTGGTTTCTTCACCACCGTCACCTCTAGAAACATCAATACGGCACCTTGCAGTTTGTGCAGTGTTCTGTACAGATTATACGAATGCGACGCATATCAAAAACACCCAGTGACCTTAGCATATCTCTCACGTTCTGTAGTAAGAGCTATAAAGTTACAGCAAAACAGATTTACAATAGAAAGACTGAAGAATCTCCAACTGATCACATAACCCAGGTTTGGGCTAGTTCATGCAACCACACTTTCTGTTCATAGTTACTCTCCTACAATCTCACACATTTTTATGATCTTTCAAACTCAAATTATAGGTCCTCGTTTGCCAAAGCGGTCGTCTACTCTCTCGCTTGTCATGTCAGCCAGACAAGGGTTTCCGCAGTGCAAAGATAGTAACACAAAACTGAAAGCAAAGCCAATCTAATGGTTAGCCACTGCCCAATGGTACAGTACTCCTTTCCCCTCCTCCATCTCCAATCACATGAGCTTGCTGATCTCCCTTAGCTC